CCCTGCCTGTGCCCCTCTCACCTGCCTGGATCCCTGCCTGTGCCCCTCTCACCTGCCTGGATTGGTGCCTACACCCTGCTCACCTGCCTAGACCTTCTCACCTGCCTGCACCCTGCTTACCTGCCTGGATCCCTGCCTGCACTGCGCTCACCTGCCTCGACCCCACTCACCTGCCTGCACTGCACTAACCTTTCTAGATTCCTACCTACATGGCACTTACATGTCTTCATCCCACTCACCTTTCTGTACCCCACTCACCTGCCTGGATCCCTGTCTGCACTGCTCTCATCTGCCTGCGTGGATCCCACTCACCTGCTTGGATCCCTGCTCACTTTCCTGGATTCCCACTCACCTGCCTGGATTCCCACTCACCTCCCTGGATCCCACTCACCTGCCTGCATTCTTGCTCACCTGCCTGGATCCCACTCACCTGCCTGGATCCCACTTACCCACCTGGATTTCCACTCACCTGCCTGGATCCCACTCACCTACCCGGATCCCTGCTCACTTTCCTGGATCCCTGCTCACCTGCCTGGATCCCACTTACCCACCTGGATCCCACTCACCTGCCTGGATTCCCGCTCACCTGCCTGGATCCCACTCACCTGCCTGGATCCCACTCACCTGCCTGGATTCCCACTCACCTGCCTGGATCCCACTCACCTGCCTGGATCCCACTCACCTGCCTGGATCCCACTCACCTACCCGGATCCCTGCTCACTTTCCTGGATCCCTGCTCACCTGCCTGGATCCCACTCACCTACCTGGATTCTTGCTCACCTACCTGGATTCTCGCTCACCTACCTGGATCCCACTTACCCACCTGGATTCCCACTCACCTGCCTGGGTTCCCGCTCACCTGCCCAGCTTCTCCAGCAGCTCATACAGGTCCTCCACGTTGCCCGGGCTCGGGGCAGCCTCCAGCCCCTCGCTCTCTGCAGCCCCCCCGGGCTCAGCCTCCTCCTGTAGGGTGGCACCAGGACCCGGCTCAGCCGCCTGCCCGGGCTGTGGTGACTGTGTCCCCAGAGCTGGGGGTGCAGGGACCCCCATCCCACAGAGCACCCCAACCCCCCAGCACACACTGGGGGATTCTCCAGTATCCAGTGGCTGAGTCCTGGCCCTGCCCAGTTCTCCCAGTTCTCCCAGTTCCCATTAAACTCCCCAGCACGTGGAAACTTGGAGACTTTCACCCCTTGACCAGGGGCCTGCAGGAGCTTCTCAGGGGGGCTTGGAAATGGGGCAGGGGTGGGAAGGGAGGGGGTTCACATCAGCCCCCCTTGCCCCCCACTGTGCTGGGGGTGCAAAATGCAGATTAAAAACAACACTGCGGTTTGGTTTCTTAAAAAAGGGGGGATTGACAGCAGATGGAACCTCCACCGTGAGCTCAGCCGTGAGAGTCCCACCCTGTCACCTCCCAGCCCCCGGGCAGGGCCCCCCACGTCCCCATGGCCGTGGCTCACCTGGGTGCTGTCAGGGGCGTCCCCCGGGCCCCCCTCGGGCAGGACCCCATCCTGGCCACCCTCGGCCATCACTGCCAAGACAAGAAAGCATGGGGTGAGGGGTTGCAGCAGGTCTGAGCAGCAGGTTCTGGTAGTGGGGGGGCTGCAGGGGTGAGAAGCTGCCAGAATCCTCCCCCGTGTCTGAGAGAGTCGCTGCCAGCGGCTCTGGGACAGACCCCGACTGGCCAAGGCCGAGCCCAGCGGTGACAGCGGCAGCACCTCAGGATAAAAGAGTCAAGGGAGGGCAAAAAGTGATTGTGTGAGAGAAGCAGCCCTGCAGAGACCAAGGTCAGCGAGGAAGGAGGGGCAGGAGCTGCTCCAGGTGCAGCAGAGGAGATTCCCTGGCAGTCCCTGGGGGTCCCTCGGGGAGCAGAGACCTGCCTGCAGCCCTGGAGGACCCCACGCTGGAGCAGGGGATGCCCAAAGGGGACTGTGACCCTGTGGGAAGCTGAGCTGGAGCAGGGTCCTGGCAGGACCTGTGACACCCTGGAAAGGGACTCAGATTGGAGCAGTCCCTAAGGAACTGCAACCTGGGAAAAGGGATCCACACTGGAGCAGTTCCTGAAGGACTGAACCCATGGAAGGGACCCAGACTGCAGCAGTCCCTAAGGAACTGCAACCTGTGAAAAGGGATCCACACTGGAGCAGCTCCTGAGGAGCTGCAGCCCGTGGGAAGGACTCACACTGGAGCAGGGCAAGGACTGACTCCTCTCCCTGAGCAGCAGCAGAAACAACCTGTAATGAAGTGACTGTAAACCCAACTCCTTGTCTCCCTGCACCTCTGGAAGGAGGAGGTGGAGCCCGGGAAGGAGGGAGGGGTGGGGAAAGGTGGTTTTAACTTTATTTTACTTCTCATCATCCTGCTCTTAGGTGATTGATAACAAATTCAATTAATTTCCCCAAGTCAGGTCAGTTGTGCCCATGGTATTAAGGGGTCAGTGACCCCTCCCTGCCCTAATCTCAGCTCAGAAGCCTTTTGTTACATTCCCCCTGCCCTGTCTGGGTGAGGAGGGCAGTGATGGAGCAGCTTTGGAGGCACCTGGAGTCCAGGTAGGGTCAGCCCACCACAGAGGGGAGAGGGGTTTTGGGGGGGGGGACGGACACCTGCCTGAACCTGGCACTGTCCCCCTCTGAGGGGGACACATCTCTTGTCCCCAGCAGCTCCAAGCCACAAACCAGCCTCTCTGGGCTCACACAGAGCAGGACCCAACCCTCCCACACCTCAGTTTCCCCGGCTGCAGGAGGGGGTGGGTGATTCTCCAGCAGCGGGACCAGCAGGGATGCAGAGAATGGGCACTGGGGCTCCAGGCCCTGGTCTTGGGGCCACCTCGTCCCCAGCGCTGTGTCCCCAGGAGCAGGAGGTTTCCTGGGCCAACGGGGTCCAAGGTCACCAGGAAAGGGATTGGGACAGTGATATTGGCCAGAGGTGGGGTCCTTCCCCAGGAAAAACAGGGGAGATCCCGGATGGATTTGAGCCCCACAGGGACAGCCCCTGGGGGGCCTGGTTGGATGCAGCCTGGCAGCACATCCCCGGCCCCACAGGGCTCTGCTTGCACCAAACAGGGGCTGGGACCCTTCCTGTCCCCCCACAGTGGCCCCTAAGGACAGTGAGTGGTCTCCAAGCCTGGTCCCCCCTCGCTCTGTCCCGCTCCCACCCCAGCTGTGCCCCCTTACCCTTCCCGAGCCTTCCTCCGCACCGGGCAGCGCTTCTCCCTCGCTCTGGCCAGGACAGGGACAGCCACTGCTCACGGTGACCGTCCTGTGGCCCCCCCAGGCTGGTGGGGGCCCTTTGGGGTTGGTGGGGGCAGCCGGCCAGGCACTGCCGGGCCCTGGCACCGCACGGAGCCGGCTGGTCCCGGGGCTGGTACGTGCACGGGGGCGGCTGCAGCTGAAGCTGGGCCAACATCCCTGGCACGTGACGTGTCCGTGGGGTGACAGTGTGTCTGTTTGTCCCCTGGGATGGACACAAGCAGACAATCCCCCCATCCCTAGCTGGAGAGCCCACTCTCACCATGCTGCAGAGCTGCTTTGGCAGGGAGGGAAGCTGAGGCCCAGGTGGCCCCGGGCCACGGTGGCCACGGCCGAGCTCTGGGCTGCAGAGCTGGACCCGCAGGGGCTGTCCTGTCCCACCACATCCTGGTGCTGCCCACCAGGAAAAACAGCCTGGCCTCGGCACCAGCTGCTGGAAAATGTGCTCCCAGGTCAGCATCCAACTACCAAAAAGCTCCTGCAGGACCCCAAAACCCCCCAACTGACCGGGATGGCCCCCGGGCCTGGCAAGTCATGGGGAGCTGGGACCCCTCACCTGCAGCTCTGACCTTCCTCCAGCAGCCCCCCACAGCTCCAGGCTCTGCCTCGCCGTCCTGGCGTTCCTGGGGTGCTGGGGCAGGCTCGGGATGAGAAAAGCTCTTTGTGTTCCTCCTCCTGAGGGCTCTGGAGGAACCCCCCCAGCTGCAGAGAGGAGCCAAAAAAGGCCTTTTAGGGACAACTCCTGGTGGTTCCAGCACCTCAGCTCCTTAAGGAGTGGCCGGGACTCGGTGGGACAAGGTGCTGGAAGACGATGTCCCCCTCACCGAGGTCCCCTCACTGATGTCCCCCCTTCCGATGTGCCGGTGAGGGTTCCAAACAGGAAACCTGGCTGACAGGACAGCAGCCCTGCGGAGGGGAAGTGAGTGGAGGGTGTGAGGGCTGTGGGGAGGGACAGGTTTCTTAAGGTGGAGAGAGCCGGCTCTGCGTGCCAGGGTCTGCCCAGGGCACTGGGCACCATCCCCACCCCGGG